CCACTATACCACCAGAGCACCTTAAAACAGGAAAGCTCAATAGTAAATCTAAACAAGAACTATATAAAATAAAATAATATGGATTATAAATTTAAGGGATAGAAAAAATCAAATTGATAAAAGATAAAGCAGAAGAAAGATTTAAAGGTTTTAATTTCCTTGTTCCTTTATGAGAATGGATATATCATTAACTTTAGAGTTGTATATCTTTTATCAACAATATCATAATCAACCCAGCCTATCAAGTTAGAAACCTTCAGGGTAACTCCTCCCTCTTTCTTCACTTCTTCAATCATTAAGGTAGCTCTAGAATTCCTCCCTAATACTTCAATTCCTCTTATTTGTACTCATGACAATTAACAGTCTCCTAACTGGTCTTTATCTTTTTCAAGTCAATCCATACAACTGCATGATTGTTCTAAATCACAAAAAATGGACTCTCTAGCACAGCATAGGAGCATAGGAGTTCTGGTAGCATAGTGGCTAAAGCACTTGACTATTAACCAGAAGGCTGGCGGTTCAAACCCACCAGCCACTCCTCGGAAGGAAGGTTGGGCAATCCTACTTCCGTAGTGATACTGCCTCGGAAACCCAAGGAGGGGTCGCTATGAGTCGGGGCCGACTCGACGGCACATAACAACAACAACAACAACAGCACAGCATATTATAAGCCTTTACAGTTTAGCTCTCACCTACTACTTTATTTAACAGCCTCATTTTCCTAAACGATGTAGCAGGCTCCTCAACGATGACCAAATGGGCCACTATCCCCTTGACCATTGTTGTTGTTGTAGTTATGTGCCGTCGAGTTGGACCCAACTCATAGCGATCCCTCCTTGGATTTCCAAGGCAGTATCACTACGGAAGTAGATTGCCCCATCTTCCTTCTGAGGAGTGGCTGGTGGATTTGAACCACCAGCCTTCTGGTTAGCAGTCAAGTGCCTTAGGCACTATGCTACCAGAGCTCCCTTATTCCCTTGACTGGGTATGCTCTATTCCTTTCCGTAACTCATCATCCTAGTAAATCTAACTCAGATTCCAGCCCCAATCCTCTCTATTATAATTTATTCTTTACATGTTGGTTGCATTCACCATTAATTCTATGACAAGAATTCTTACTCATTTTAGAAACTGGTCTAGTATCTAATCTAGAACTTGGCACAGATTACAGTTTTATGCTGACTGAATGAATGGAAAGTGTAAATGTCAATAGAGACATTTATCATGAACTTAACAATCTGAGAATGTGTAAAGACATGTATAAAATAAAAATTTATACATTTATTAAAAAAAGTATAGTTAGTAAACAAGTAAGAGATAATTTACTTTTCATTCATATAAATACATCTCTCCTTAAAGATATCTATGTCTTTACTAAGAAAGGAATAATCATAATAAGCTGCAAGAGTCACAAGTTTAAGTTAAACTGCTATATTCCTAATAATGAAAAAATAAACTAAGTAAAAATTATACCTAATGGGACCCTCTTAAAACCATTCCAGAACAAACATATATATAAGCAATTATGTACAAAAAACACTATCATGAGGGAGATTAGAAGTAAACTTACAGATGTTCTTTCTATCCTATACAAAAATAAAAATAATTAAGGCTTACATAAATAATAAACATATTCCTATAAACTGAGTTGCTTATCAGAAGATTTGCATAATGAAAAATTAAAAGACTTGATGACATGCCAAAAAAGTTTGTCAGAGATCAAAACATAATACATTTAATAAAAGTTGTAATAGGCATAAAATATATATATATTTTTTAACTACTTCCAAACTCAAGTATAAAAAAGTGCTGAAAACTTAGTATCAACATCAATGCTTGGGAAGCCTCAAATTAAGTTTATCTTTTTCTTTTCAAAAAATAGTATTTTACTGTGATTTCAGTAAAGATTTACACAGAAGTTTAGGTTCCCGTTCAATAAATTCTAAACACAAACTGTTCAGTGACATTGTTTACATGATTCACAATGTGAATATTCTCAAGACTTCTATTCTGGTTGTTCTCTTTCCATTACTCTAGTTTCTCTGCTCCCTTACATTCTCATTTTTGTTTTAAAGTTATTGTCAACCATCTGGTATCAAAGAGATGATTTTTGAAAGGAGCACAGTATTCATTTTATTTCATGACCCAGTCTGTTATTTAGCTAAAAGATGACGCCAGGGGCTAGTGTTGGTTAAAGGTTTAAGGGTATCCCAGGGAAATAGTCTTGAAGAGTCCCCCAGTCTTAACTAGTCCAGTAGTTTTTACTTATTTTTAAAAGGAATTTGAGGTTCTTTTCCACAGTTTTCTCTTTTTCTATCAGGAACATCTATGTGGCCCTGGGCCAAGGAGCCAGTAGAGGTAGCTATACATCATCTAGTTCTCATCTCAGGGTAGATGAGGCTGTGGTTGGTGTAGACTATTAGTCCTACAGATTTTCTTCTCTGAATCTTGGGTTTTCTTCTCTTTTGCTGTGTATGAGTAGAGACCAACAGTTATATCTTAGATGGTTGCTCATAAACTTTTAAGACCCCAGATACCACTCTACAAATCAGGATGTAGAACATGAACTTTATGAACTGTATTATATCATGCCAAATGAATGAGAGGTCCCACAAGACGATGATGCCAATCCTTCAAACCCAGGAAACCAATTTGATGAGGTATTTGGTATGTGGTTAACATTCTTCAAGCTTCTACTCATTACCCAATTCCGAAACTGCTTCCATCTATCTGTTAGACAGCAAACCACTCCAGATATCAAATTCTGTCTTAATTAACTAATGCTGCAGTAACAGAAATATCACAAGGGAATGGCTTTCACAAATAAATTTAGTCTCTCACAATTTGAGGAGGGTAGAAGTCCAAATTCAGGATCCCAGCTCCAAGGGAAGGCTTTCTCTCCCTGTTGGCTCACAGGTGAGAAGCAAAGTCCTTTTCTCCTTTTAGCATCTATAGGCCTGGCATTCCTTAGAGATCACCATGTGTCTTGACATCAATCTTTCCTTGGGTGTAGGAGGTTCTAAGAGGAAAGACTCTGGGTCCAAAGGATGTGCTCTGTTCTCAGCTCTTCTCTCTTGGTGGTAATAAGTCCCATCACTCACTACTATCAAGCCAGTTCCAATTCATAGCAACCCCCTCCTTGGGTTTCTGAGGTGGTATCTCTACAGAAGTAGATTGCCAAGTCTTCCTTCCCAGGAGTGGCTGGTGGGTTTCAACCACCAGCCTGCTGTTTAGCAGTCAAATGCCTTAGGCACTATGCCACCACAGCTCCCACAGGTCCCATAGTAGTTCCCCCACTCTCTGCTTGATTCTCCCTCCTTTTATCTCTTGTACGATAAAAACTGATGAAGGCCATACTCCAGGAAATTCCCTTTACATTGAATCAGGGTTGTGACTTGATTAAGGATATTGCATACAACCCTCCCACCCAACCCCTTACATCTGACTGGTTGACCACATCAGATCACAGCATGGGGCATGGTTATATCATTACAGAGCTACCAATCACTGAAAATTATGGCCCAGCCAAGTTGACATAATTGTGGGGAATACAATTCAATCCATGACACATATCTGTATATATACTGGTCTATATACATACATATATACCTGCCTATATATTTTTAGGTTATTGTCATTGTTTCAAAATTATATGTCATAAACCAAACCAAAACCAAATTCACTGCCGTGGACTTGTATCCAACTCACAGTGATCCCTCCTTGGGCTTCCGAGGTGGTATCACTATGGAACTAGATTGCCCAACCTTCATAACAATTATTAAAAGGTCTTTTCTTCTTGTTTACATTTTAGTGACATTGTTTACCTTCATCAAGCTGTGCAGACTTCACCCTCATTTGGTGTTACCTTTTCCAGCACCAAAAATACTACTCGTCTACTATCTACAGTGAATCCTCTTCCACTCCCGTCTCCAGTAAGCACTGAAGAATACTTCTGTATATTTGCCTGTTCATGTCATTTCATAAAAGTGAGAACATACCATATTTGCTTTTTATTTCACTCAGTATAATGTCCTCCAGGTTCATCCATGTTCCAAGATGTTTTAGGAACTCATTCTTCTGCATCACTGTACATATGTGCCACATTTTACTTACCCATTCATCCACTGACAGGTACTTAGGCTGTTTCTATCTCTTAACTATGGGAATAGTACTGTAATGAACACAGGTATGCATATGTCTGCTTGTGTTATTTGTATATATTCATGGGATATATATCTAGGACTAGAATTGCTGGGTCATATAACACCTATACCTCTAGTTTTTTGAGGAGCTGGCAGACTATCTTCCACAATGGTATTCCCACCAGCAATAGATGAGAGTTTCAATTTTTCCACATCCCTGGTTATTTTATTAAAAAAAAAAAAATCTTAGCCATCTTAATGGGAGTGAAATGGTGTCTTATTGTGGTTTTGATTTCCATTTCTCTGACGTTGAGCATCTTTTAATGTATCAGTTGTTCACTTGAACATCCTCTTTGAAGTGTCTGTTCATGTTCTCTGCCCAGTTTTTGACTGGAAATTTACCTGTCTTAAGCAGACCTCCTATTTTCACTTTGGAAACAAATCAGCTTTAATTTTACAAAATGGGTGATGCATATTTTTGATGAGATAGCCTACAGAAAGAAACCATTTACTTATTATATTGCCTAAAAAAAAAAAAACTCCTCTTCATCCCTTTTAATTTATTCTATAATTATTTTTAAAAGATTGCTACTCCTAAAATATTAACATACATGATATAAAGCAAAGATCTTACATTTTTTTAAGAGAAAAATTAAACTAAATGGGCCTATTATACAACGTCCAGGTCTTAGCAATAGTTTTTTTGCTTTGTTTTTCCTTGTTATTACTGAAGGATTTGATAATTTATTTATCTTTCCATATAACACTAATCTTTTCACTAGTTTTTAGACAAATCTGCTAAAAGAAACCAAATGTTAAAAAATTGGGAAAGTCTGCTTTCCCTACATAAATACATACCTGAATCATCAGCTAATCTGCTAATTCTTTCCAAAACAGCAATACAATCTCTCTCATCATCGCTGACTTCCCTCAAGGTATCCAGCAAACTCCGGGCCACCATTTGTCTATAAGAAAATCACAAAATATTCAGCAGGATCAGTAATTAACATTTAGAACTTTAAAAGACAGACATTTCTTCAACACCTCAACATCAAAAAGACAAATAACCCAATTCACAAATGGGCAAAAGACTTGAACAGACACTTCACCAAAGAAGATATACAGGCAGCCAACAGAACACATAAGAAATTGCTTGTGATCATTAATCATTAGAGAGATGCAAATCAAAACAATGAGATATGATCTCACCCCAGCAATAACAGCAAAGTTCAACAGGTCAGAAAATAACAAATGCTGGCGAGGTTGCATAAAGATTGGAACTCTTGTGCATTGCTGGTAGGATCGTAAAATGGTACAACCATTGTGACAAACGGTATGGTGTTTCCTTAAAAAACTGAAAACAGAAGTACCATTTGACCCAGTAATTCCATTACTAGGAATACATTCTAAAGTGGTGAGAGATAGCGCACGAACAGACTTATGTACACCTATGTTCACTGCAGCACAATTCCCTAGAGCAAAGACATGGAAACAACCTAAATGCCCATCAAAGAATGAGTGGATAACCAAATTATGGCATATACACACAATGGAATATTATGCTACATTAAAGAGAACATTAAAGAACAATGAGGGATATGCAAATCATCTCACAATGTGGATGAACCCCGAGGACATTATGATAAGTGAAATAAGTCAATTGCAGAAAGGCAAGTACTGAATGAGCCCATTACTGTAAAAAGACAGAGAAGGGTTTGAATGGGAAAGGAAACTTACTCAGTAGGTTACTGGGATGGGGAGGAAGGGGAGGGATTAATTTCGGGCTAGTTGGGGCCTACACGCTGACGTAGGTAGGGGGAGGGATACACGGGAAGGATCTGTGACCACCATGATAACATTAGGAAACGGAAGGACACCGAATTGTGCACATAAAAGATAGACAACAGATGCTAATATCAACCAATGTGTCCACAATACTGCGCTGCCATTAACACCAAACACCAGGCTATAGATAAACACATAAACACCTGAGATGATCAGATAGGGGTCAGTGAACAAAGGTGTACTCGAGACCAAGAATAGATTCAGCTAAGTCTAATCTTGCACAGACACCAGTGATACAAAATACCTGCAATCCTTACAGAAACAATAGAAGACAGACACAGAGGAATCCCTCACAGACACCCAGACACTGTGGGAGAGAGATCCAATAGATCTACTACCTCAGGACCATAGTACTGGGGGACACCAGACTCAATTGGCACAACAAAATACATAAAAGCCTTGTTCTACATCCTACATTGGTGAGTAGCAACTGGGGTCTTAAAAGCTTTCAAGTGGCAGCCTCCTAGTGTCAGAAACGAAGAAGAACGTAAAACCAACCAAAAAAAAAAAAAAAAACCACAACAAGGGCATTTGGAAGCAATCAGCCCTAGGACATGATGGCCCTTGAGACCAGAAGAACTAGATGATGCCCAGCTACCAATGCAAACCACTCAGGAAAGGATCAAATTTGGAGATCCTGGATAGAGTGGGAGAGAAAATGTGGAACAAAATCCAAAAACTCAATAATGACCAGAATTACTGGTCAGATGAAATCTGGCGAGACCCCCAATACTATGGCCCTGGAATACATTCTGTGCCTGGAATAAAACACACCCCCAGGGGCTGGCTCTCAACCCAAGAGTTAAAAAGATGTACATGTAGACCACTCAACACAGGATGACGCACCCACATACTCTATGGTAATACATCCCTTAGAGCAACAGACCACGGGACATCAGAGGACCAACATTCAAATTGAGGAAATGCAGGACAAACAGCAGTGCATAAATATGAGGGGCACAGGGGGAGAGTTACAGGATAGGGAGGGGAGGAGATTGGGTTAGGGTTGGACATGGTAAATGGGGAATGAAACTAAATGTACACGTAATGTTGAATGTAAAACAAGTTCTTAAAAAAAAAAAAGAGACATTTTTCTTATTATTTTATTTTTTTAACTAAGTACTTACTTTCCTGAGTGGTAAATGCAAGTAGTGATTTTATTTTAACAAGATGAGACTGAATTTTTACCAAAATACTTTTTTCTACCTGACTTGGCAAATTTTTCTAAGGTCAATCAACACTCATTTTAAACAGTACCCTTCAATTATCATCATAATGAAATATAATTCATTCTTCATTATACAAAATGTTATCTTTACTTTTTTTTTAAATACACTAATATGAATTATATACATCTATACTCAAATATTTTGAGTAAAGATTTTTATTTTTTACTTCCAAAGAAGTCTGACACAGGTGGGCTGGGGGCCGTAACAGGAGAAATACTGAATTAGGCTCTAATCCCCTGGAACACCACCTGGCACATACATAACAGGCTAAATGAATGATAGACTCTGCAATAATGAATTAACACAAAATTATGTAAATGTAAAAAAAGCAGGTGTTTTTGTTTTCACCTCCCCAACAAAAAGTAAAGGAAGTGCTACTAGAATCAAAGAGTAAGCAAGTATAAAACAGGCCATACCTGTGATTATTAACAGAACTTGGAGACTCAGATTGTACATGTTAATAATACCTCTTTAAATTAGATAATTTTATTTTTCTCTACCAAAATTCATGTAATAAAAACTATCCTTCCACTTCCCCTGTAATTAAAAGAATATGCACATACCTGTTAAATATGTTCTCACTTGCAGCATACTTGTCCAACCTTCCCAATGGCGTCAACATTTCATCTTGTGAGACAAAGTCCAGGGCTGAAGGTATAATAATCACATCAGACTCTGAGCTGTAGTCATCCACACCAACTATCAGAGACATCAGAAATACTCCTTATAACACTTTGAAACTAAAAAGTACCCCTTGCCTGTCTGACGCAGCATGAATAGAACTGTCCCTGATGTTTCTGAAGTGGTACAAAGAATCACAAGAGAAGGAATCCAGAAGTCAACATGAAGGGTACTTCCTCTCCTTTTTCTATAGATATTTTTTTACTGGTCCTAAAAGCATAAGGGTCAGAGGCTACAGAAACTGAGTATGGGGGAAACAGAGTGATTAGAGTCTTGACAACTTATACTTTTAATCAAAACACTACTAACTTGTAAATGAATAAAAATTCCAACAGTGATACAATGCAATATATCACCGCAATCCTGCAATGTAGAAGAGAAAGCTAATACAAAGTGATTCAATATGGGAAAGCTAAAACCATTAGTGTATTTATTTTAACTGAAAAATATTAGGTACATTATGTGACAAGTATTAGGCTGGATATGGGAAACAACAGCAAAAACCCTACAGTCTCTGCCTTCAAAAAAATAATATTCTATTGAATAAACAACTGTAAAGGAAGGTATGTACAACAAACTACAACAACAGAAACCCATTCAAGCTCTAAGAGAAGACCAAGAAAGAGTGGCTAAAAACTAAACAGAAGGTAATGGTTTCAAAGGAATTAATAAGCAGTGAAGCTGAAGATGTGATTAAATAGCATCTACTGCCAAAGGAGTCAATAACAAAAACAGAAAGGTGCTCACTGAATTTGGTACTTCTGTGACACACTGGGGTATACTTAGTGCACTTAACAAGGCCAATTCTCGGTGGTATGAAAGCAGACAAGCCAAAGTAGCGTGATTAAAGAGGTAATGAAAAATATAAGGAAGTGAAAACAAAGAGTACAAAATATGCTTCCCAGAACTGTGGCTGTAAAATAACAAATTACAGATTAGATTATTTACAACTGTATATAAGGCAAAGAGACTTTTTGTTTGTTTCTAATGTTTAAAAGAGAAAGATGTGAAATATGTTTATATAATGAAAAGAAAAAGTCAACAAATAAAAATAAATTCAAGCTCTATGAACAAAAGAACATGACTGATGGAAAAATGATGAAGATGGAATACAGAGCTAAGGTACATGGATCAGACTTAAATAAAAGCTCTTTAACTGGCAGGATTTCAGGGCCTTTCCCAAATCCCAAGAACTTTCAAAGATACTTCTTTCTCATTTTCATTTTCTGGCACTTCTTATTCTACCCCTCTTAACTGCTTTACTCTTCTCCACAGCACCTGTCACCATCTGATCTATATTACTTGTCTGTACCACAGAATAGAGGTTTCATAAGGGCAGGGATTTTTCCCTTATTCTAAGCTTTATCACCAGAATATCTTCTGCAACATAGTAAGCACTTAAATATTTGTGAAATGAATAAATCTATTCATCACTCACAAGTGTTTTTATCTTTGTGCCAGCTCTTTGCTTGCAAGAAAAAAATAATACACAAGAAACTCTTCCAAATGCTGCTTGTAACACAAAAGATTGATCATTTCCTGATCAAATTCCCAATTATATATATTGCTTTCATAGCATTTAAAATTGCCTATTGCAAAGTAAATTTGTATAACATAGGCTCATCTTAATAGAACTACTCTGAGTAAGACTAAGGAAACTATATTTACACTCAACCAAAAGCCATTAAAAGGAGACTACAAAACAAACACAACAAACAGTTTTAATTTAGCTATACTAATCTACTGTCATGGATTAAAATGTGCCTCCCAAAAATGTGTGTCAACTTGGCTAGTCCATGATATTGTGTGGCTGTCTTGAGTCATATCTTTCACCCTATAAAAGACAAAAGGAGAGAGAGGTGAGCAAAGAGTGACCTCACTACTACCAACAAAGAAGGGCAGGGGATAGAACCCATCTTTTGAGCCAAGCACTCCTGTGCTGAGAATCTCCTAGACCCAGGGAAGACTGATGGCAAGACACATGGAGATCTCCAAAGGACACTAGGCCCACAAAAGTTGAATGGAGACAAGGACATTCCTGTAGAGCTGATGTCCTGAATTCACAATTCTAGTCTCCTAAACTGTGAGAAGATAAATTGTTAACAAATTTGCAGCACTTGATAACTAGGATAAAATTTGGTACCAGAAGAGTAAGATGCTCCTCTAACAGATACCTACAATGTAGAAGTGGTTTTAGCATTAGGTAATGATTAGAGGCTGAAGAGTTTTAAGGGGCTTAATAGCAAAAGCCTATATTGCTTTGAAGAGACTGTGGGTAAAATTATGAAAGTCAGAGATAATTCTGGTGAGGACTAAGAAGTAAGGAGCCCTAGAGATAAAGCCTCTTTAATCTTAAGGTACTGGCACATATGGTCCAAGCAAAAGAATGTTGCTAGAAACGTGAACATTAAATGTGCTCTCTGGTGAGGCTTTAAAAGAAAATAATTGGTGGTTCAGGTAAGAGAGTGTAATAGGCAGAAAGACTGCACAGACCTTCTTCAACAAAGAAAGGGGGAACGAATTAACACAGACAGAGAAGATAATCCTGGACCCCTGAGCCTTGAAGGGAAGGATACAGAAGTGGACTAAACTCCAACTAGCAGAAGAATTTGAATGAAAACACCAAAAAAGGAGACATACGAAGCTGAGGTCTGGCAGAAATCCTGATGGCACAGACAGCTTGGATACCGCCAAGTGATGGGAGGACCTAAGAATTAACTTAAAAAATCAGCCCTGCTAGACAGGGACTGCACAGAGGACTGCTCTGGTGGCTAGTGGATAAAAGAGGAAGCAGCAGATAGGAAGGAGGACTGAGCTATGGCTTTTTGCCTATCTGGAGGATGCAGCCATTTTGAATGTTTACAAGTGGTTGGATCATTATGGATGTTTAAAGCAACAGCGTTCTCCCAGACTCCAGGGACTTAACAACAGGCTCCACTTGCCAGGAACTGCAAGAGCATTCTGGACATGGATGACTGGAAAGGTGCGGCACTCCCCTTACTACTCTTATACCCCACACTCTCTTGGTAAACAGAGACACAGCCATCCCTCACTCCCACCAACCGCTGGGCTGGCAGAAATTCCATTCCAGTCTTTGTGATCAGACAAAGCCAGGGTAGCCCCACCTCACCATGCCCCAATTTTTTTCTTTCTGTTTTCTGTTTTTTAGTTTGTTTTTGTCTGTTTTGAAACTACTATTATTACTACTATCACTTTTGTCCTTTTTACTATTATTCTTTATTCTTCCCCTCCCAGGTTCAAGGTTTCAGCTTTTTTTCGTTTTCCTGTTCCTGGTTATAATTTTTTTTCTTTCTCGTGGTTGATCCCATTCCTTGTTTTCCTTTTTGCGTTTTTCCCTTTTTTTCTTCATTATTCACCTCTATCTTTTTTCTCTTATTGCCCTCTCCCCAGATATTGCAGTTTATTTCCCCCCCTCTTTTTCTTTTTTGGTTACTGTTCCCATGTGTTTACACAGTGTGTTTTGTCCATTTGCTTTTACATTTCTGATGGTTATTCAATTTTTATTTTCCTCTAACTGAGTGGAAGACAGCAACAGTCCACATATGACACAACTACACCCAAACCTCCTGCAGCTTCACTTACTGAGTGAGAGCCACCACTTCCTTCTCTACCAATGGTCCAACAATAAACAACCACCAAAAAAGAGCCTGCCTCATCCTTGGCTGCTCTTCACAAACAGTTAACAGAGAACTAAATACAATGCCACAATGTATCAGAGACAAAAGACCATCACAGTCCACACAAAGAAGATTAAGTGGTAGAAACAAGGGAGCAGGAGACAGACACAGAACACATCCCTGAGGAAGACACAGCATTGGAACTCTCTGATAAGGAATTCAAAAGAATTATATTTAGGTCTCTTCAAAGGATTGAGAGACAGACCAAGGAAAACAGAAACAAATCCCTAGAAGAATTTTGGAAGAAAATACAAGAAAAAAATGACAAAATAAATGAAAAATTAGAAATGATTCTAAATCTACAGACAGAAATCCAGAAGATCAATACTAAATTGTCAGAATTAGATAATACATTGAAAGGCCAAAGGAGTAGAATGGATGTAATGGAAGACAGAATTAATGAGATTGAAGACAAATACCTGAATACTTCTTTGGAAAGGGATCAATCAGAAAAAAGATCAAATCAAAATGAAGAAAGCCTAAGGTTCATATGGGATACCATCAAAAGGAATAACTTACGTGTCATTGGAATTGAAGAACAGGAAGAGAAAAATAAAACCAATATGAAAATTGACCAAGATTTGTTGGAAGAGAGCTTCCCTGATATGACGAAAGATGAGAATATATACATTCAGGAAGTCCAACGAACCCCAAACAGGATAGACCCCAAAAAGAAAATCACCAAAACGTGTATCATTAAACTAATCAAAACCAAAAACAAAGAAGGAATCCTGAAAGCAGCATGGGTAAAACAAAAAGTTGCTTACAAATGACAACCAATAAGAATAAGATCTGCTTTCTCAGCATAAATCATGGAAGCGAGAAAGCAACAGGACGGTATATGTAAAACTCTGAAAGAGAAAAATTTTCAACCAAGAATTATAAACCTGGCTAAACTGTCCCTCAAATATGATGGTGAAATTAGAAGACTTCCAGACAAGCAGAAACTAAAGGAATTTGTTAACACCAGATCAACCTTACAAGAGATAGTAAAGGGAGTCCTTTGAACAGAGAAACAAAAATAGCAAATAACAACTGACCATTAACACACAAGATGACATAACCCAGAAACCACAGCTACGGATATATCCAAAGTAAAATAAGCTTACAAGATTGTAAACAGGGAAACAGAGACATCAACTGGCAAGTGAGGAACCATAAACCAAAGAGGGAAAATACTGTGTAGTTACAGAACTTCTAAATAATGAGTTAGTTAGGAGAGTTGCAAGATAGAATGGACTGTTCTAAACTAGGAGAGAAAACTATAAATCACAGGATAACCTCAAAGAAAAATGATAAACATTCACATCACAA